AACTGCTGAAATATTTTGCATGAATGGGAGAGGATATATATGATATACAGTTGCTGCCCACAGAGGGCTGGGAAGCTGGAAAGGCATGTCTTTTTTCCATCATTTTCCTAAAGTTCTGTATTCCAGGCCTGACTAATTTAGATGTTCTTAACTGCTAAGCAGAGGGCCTGAAATACTGGGGCAATTTCTTGGCTCTTGTATTTACAGACTGTATGAATATCTACCAATTTTTGATCATGTAGAAAGTGTGAAAATGTGGTCTTACAGGGTCAAATACCAGACATTTAAAATTGTTTTCCATCCCTTGGGGGTTTTTTACACCAGTCTCTTATTTTGGAAGCTTTATTTTACAGAACTGCCAGCTTACTCTTGGCAGTACTGTGTAAGTGTAAAGAAATCCTGCCAATATTTTCTTGGGCTATGTCCAGGTGGATCTTCTTACTCCATTAGGGCATTATGCTTACTCATGTTTGTAGAGTCAGACCCTAAAGACATATCTTGTTCCTCGTCTGTCTTTGCTTGCTTCAGGTTTGCCCTTCTTGTGGAATCCAAGTGCGCATCCTTCCCAACTTTGTGCTTTTCCCGAGATTCACAGGTGAAGCTTCAGCTCCATTTGCAACCCCTCACTCCCACTACTCAGTTTCGTCCTGCTCTTCATCTGCATTTTCCCAGGCATGGGCCTTGCTGTGTGATTTAACTGGACTGCATCTGCAGCAAGAAGAGAATGTGTTAAATCTGTTGTAAAATAATGGGCACCACATGAAATCGAGAAGGTGGGGTCCAATAATCCGAACTGCAGATGGTTCACTGGTAGGGAGAAGGAGAGCTGTCATGCTAAAAAAAAAATCCAGAAGTCAGCAAATGAGCTGAGTTAATGATGTGACACAAGAAAATTAAAGGCAGTGTTTCTGGGCAATGTATGCAGGAGTGTCCCTCTTGAGACTGAGCTCTCTGTAGTCCTGTCTATGCTCGTGCAGGTATTAGGGTGGGAGCAGAGCTGGATACTAACTGTAATAGTTAGATCTATCACCTCATTAATTAACAACATGTGGAACAGTTTCTCTGATTTGGATTAAAAAGTATAATTGGACTTCACTGAGAATACTATTTATGTCAGATTGGAGGAGATGCCTGTGTGGGAAATAGTGTGGGAAATAGTAATAATAATGTCAAATGTGAAATAAGTGGCAATACAATTGTTTCCTTCTGTTAGTCTCCATAGGGATGTTTGTAGAATCTGGATTCTGGTCCTGAGGGCCTGGATTTCAAGGAGGAGCCCATGCAATCCTTGGACTCTGAGAGGCTGGCTAGATGTCACTGTTGAACAAACACTGCCCATTTGACCAGTTAGTGTTTATAATATGTATTGCAATGGTAGGACTGGACCTAGCTATTCAATATCTGAGCTGATACCATGGGGTACTGAGTCACTGTCCTCCTCTGTGCTGCTACTGCAAATAAATTCACCAGCTTCCATCTTAATAGCTTGCTTTAGAGCCAGTGCCACACTTCACATCCTATTCTGGACCCTCTCCAACAAGTTAATGGTTTTTTACTGAGGAAGATGAGTAAAAATTATGAGAGTATCCTTAACTAAGGAGCCATAAAATTCTGATAGAGCAGTAATGTTCCCAGTGAGCCTGAAGGAAATCCGATCAATAGTTATGAGGCTGAGGCTCGATTTATGGCCTGAATTCATCAAGCATAGTAATTCTCCATTTTTGTACAGGATGCTTTTGTGGTTCCTGCTGAGGAGAGGAGTATAAAGTCAGCACAAACTCTTTCTCAACAATTGCCCAGGCTTTTTAATTTAAGATAGCTGACTCTACAGAGGTGGCGATCAGGGTCCTATGATGCATTCGAAGGCAATTTTTCATTATATAGGACAGGCTGTACCAACTGTATGGGTTCTCAGAGTCTCAGGTTTGGAACTGTTTCACAAAGAGTAAAAAATATGGTTATTTTGGATCTCTTTAAAATTTGACCCTGCAGTTATTCATTTGCCTGCAAACCACTACACTGTCAGGAATGGTCCAGCAGCATGTTCTCCAAAAATCCTTTTACTGCCTTTTGTAGACCACTTGCAATAGAATTTTCTAGATGAAGGCTGGACTAATTCTACATTTCTAAGCTGCCTCTGTGAAAGAAGTTCTCCCATCCGCTGCCAGCACAGGTGTGATCTCTTTAAGCTTTGAAATTGGTTTTTAAGGACAAAGGCAGACAATGAAATTTCATCCAAAGGTTTTATTAAAACCACCATGTATATAGTCAGACCTTTCCAAACCCTGAAGTAAATGCAAACCTGATGTAACCATCTCCCACCAGTGCTATAAACATTGTGAGAAACAACTGCCTTGAAAATTTAAAAAAGTTTATTAAACCTTGACAAAAATACAACAAAAGGACTATATCAGGAAAATTTTGCAGTGCTGGGAGCTGTCCTCTTGGATACCCCATAACCAGTTCATCTTCAAGACGGATGCTCAGTCTTTTATACCCCTGGGCGGTTGCATCAGCCAGCCCTGGCACCTCCCAAAGTCTGTCAGTCAGCTCTTCTTTGCCGTTTATTGGTAGAGACTGCTTTCTTGTAACTTGGTTGGAGGTCAGGTGTTATCATGCCACATCCCCTTAGCAAGAAACTTTTCCATTCCCAGCTGCCCCAGGTGAGGGACACATGTGCACATCTTCTTTTACCTGTCCTAGACAACCCCAGCTGTCTGATGGGGGGAAAGGGAACTATGGGGAGAACAGAGGACCTCTAAACTACAATAACATAACTATACATCACTAAAGCTTTTCTTAATATTCACACAATAGTTATCCCTTAATTGTGAGAGCCAATCAGCTCATTATCCATCTATAACAGCATGAAATAGACAGAAGCTTTTCAGATTAAATGGAAAAGCCTAGGTTTAAGCCATCTCCTGTATCTACTTGTCATTCCTGCATACAAAGATTAGTAGGAGAAAGTTTTAAGTCTCTGAAGTGACAGGAGTATTTTGTAAATATATACAGTAAGGTCCTAAGTGAAGAGGGCTCTAAATTAACATTTGACCAAAAATATTTGGTGATACTCATTCAAAAACAACTTCTTAAGGGTGCTTTTAAATCCCCAACTCTAACACCGTGCACATAGACTAAGCACCTGGACCTGCAGATGATCTTCATTGTACAGATTCATTCCTGCTTTGGCTATCTGCCCGTGGGTTTTATGTGAAATACTCCCTGGTATAGCTTCTGCATTTAAAGGATGCCTTTAAGTATCTGCACTGGCTGACGGGACAAAAGGAGAAGAAGACATCCTTAGAGAAATGTAAGATGTGCAGAGAGCTGAAATGCCCATGGTGGCTTTTCTGACGGTTCAGGGTGGGCTCTGGGAAGCCAGGGCCGCTGGTGCTTTCCCAGCCCTCTCCTTGCAGAAAGATTTTCCCCTCCTGCCAGCAGCTGCCGGGGCGGAAGACAGGAGGCGCTCAGGAAAGCTGGGCTGTTGCCTGAGCCAACAGCGACACCCAGAGCTCCCGCAGCATAATCAATCCCTTCTTACATCTGCAGCCCCGTATCCATGCCGCCTGGAAAATATCCCAAGGATTAGCCCTTTTTGCCTTCCTGAATGACTTCATTTATTGAGAAGGAAGATATATTTTGCTGTAGTAATTTTATCAATAGCAATCATGTATACTGTGCTGAGAGTAAATTAGATCAGCCACAGGCACATCTATATTCCAACGCTTGCCTTCACACAAAGTGGATTGCACTCTTTCATCTCTATCAAAACAGTTAAGATGATGTTATTTTTTGCAGCTAAGGTCGAGGCAGACAGCTTATAAAACGTCCCATTCCTGCTTCCTCATTACTGCAAGAAGTCTCACTGAGACCACACTGAAATTATTTTGGTAAGCTTTTGTTGAATAAATGCACAAACAGAGGCAAACAGTACATGCAAGGAGCATGTCAAGATCAAAATAATAGGTGCAAGTTTTGTGACAGTGAACACTGATTTAGACTTTTATTAAAATCACCCTAAACAACCCCTTGAAGACACATATCTGAGCAGACAGTGGTAAAATAATTAGAGAAGTAAGAGAGAGCCAGGCATTAATGTCTCTAGAAAAACATTTTAATAGAAGCAAGAAAACTCCTTAGAACTGATCAGTATACAGGACGTGCTGAGGACAACCCAAATTACACAGTACAATTACAAAGTACAGGTGTATTTCACACTACCAGAATGCAAAAGCCCTGTCACCAGGGTACAGCCTGCACAGCTGCTGAAGTAGATTCTTGTTTCCTTTCCAAGCTCAGGTTTACCTCAGATCCAAAGGGAATACCAGTTCCTCTCTGCAGGGCAGGAGACAGGTCAAGTGAAAAAGCACCAATGCTGAGCAAGTAGCAAATGTTGTAGGCCAATGACTGTCACCAACCAGAGAAGTTGGTGGAGGGGAAAGGCATGAATGGAATCCAAAGTTTTTATGTTCCAGCTGAGCTGAGGTTAGTTGAGAAGAAAATAAACAAATTAAATCCGTGTTATATCAATATAAAGCATAAAGGTGCAAACCAAAGTGAAACAGAGCAAGAAAAGTTACCAGTGCAGCAAGCACAGAATTAAGTGGTCCAGGAACCACAATGATCAGGCTTGGCAGTGCCTGAGAGCACTTTTGGTCCCTCCTGGACAGTATCATGGACCCTCTTTGAGAAAAATACCACAGGCATCCTTCTCTAGCTGAAACAGACCATTAAGCAGTACTCCAAAAATCAGGGCCAAAGTGCCTGAAGATGCATCCAAAATGTGAAACATCTGTGGTTCATTCAATTCTTCTGAAAATCCATGAGCCCATTTGCATTTTCATAAATCTGCCGGTTGCTTTGTCTCTGTGGTCTGAAAGATTTATATTGAAACAATTACCATTCTACATGTCTTTTCAAGGAAAGATGAAGCCAACTTCTGTTTATTCCTGCCATGGCACAGTTAGAAATGGGATATTTGCCAGGAACTCACACAGTCAATGTGACACAGTTGCTACAGACTACAGTTCTATAGTACCAGTTTTCCTTTGCACTTTTATTTCTTTCAGAATTCGTCAAGAAAGGTTATCCAAGAAACAGTCCACATCTTGATAATCTTGATAATCACCGCAAATACTGATTCCTTTGTAGGAAGTTTCAAATTGGTTTGTGTTTCTTCAGTTGATACTGAGAAAGTGACCCAACCACTACCATAATGAGGACATCCTTCAGATCACAGGAGTACCTGCTCTGGGAGAAATTAAAGGCTTTCACACACCACCCATCTTTGAGAAACTGCCTGGTCACAATGCAAATTGTTTTCTTGCTGTTCCAAATGGCATCATTAATATTTTGATATGTTCTTTGCCAGGCATGAAATCTCTTTATTCAAAACACAAGGTAAATCTGTTGTTATCAAAATACTGTGAGTCCAGGTGCTTTAGGAAAGAATTCTGGACCCATTCAAAGTAATTTTTGCTGTAGCACAGATATGCATCATATTTGTATTCATTTTTATCTACTGCTCATAGTTGGTTGTCTATCAGTCTTTTTGTAGTGGTTTTATACCAGAGGAAACAAATCCCCTGGGGGCAAATAAAAATTGTGACTGCCACCAGAAATACGAGAAGAATGACCAAGAAGAAGATGACGAGTGAGAATCTGAGTGTCTGCTGGAGTTCATCACAGCCATCGTACGTCATATATGGCAGGGTTATCCCTTCAAAGGCAGGGGGTGCACACTGTACCTGTAAGACTGGGAGCCAGCCAGGGTTACATTTGTTTCACTCAGCCGCACTAGCAGGCTCTTTAAAGCACAGTCACAGACATAATTATTATGTGCTATATCCAGAACACTCAAAGTCATAAAAACTTCAGGCTCAGGGGAAAACAGCTGGTTTCCGGATAAGTTTAGGTTTGTTAGGCTTTATGGTAAAAGCCCAGGAGAAAGATGAGACAGCAGGTTGGAAGCCAGGTAAAGTCTTTTAAGAGATGGTAGACCTCTAAAACTCTCCTATGGAAGAGCACTGACGTAGTTGTTATTCAGATGTAGAACTTGAAGTTTGGGCAATGCCCCAAACACATCCAAACATAAATCTCTCTCCCACACCAGCTATAACATATTTTCACCAAGATCCATATATACTAACTGATTGCTTTCTATAACATTAGCACTCTTCACACAGTAAGAGAACCAGTTCTGTTGTAAGAAGACATACTGCAGATCTGAAATTTGGAAAAGAACATACAGGTCACCTAGTTTTGCCAACCAATTTCTTTCTAATTCGAGGTGTGTTGCAATTATTGCTCTGTTACCTATAGACATTAGCTTATTGTCACCTAAAAAGGCAGAAGTCAGATGTGGAAAGGAAGGGAGTCTTTTAATGGCATTGTCTCAGAGATAAATTATTTTCAGATTTACTAAATGCCTGAATGATTTGTCACCAATCATCCCAATATGATTTTGCTGTAAATCAATATATGTTGCACTACATAGACCCGCAAAAGTATAATTGTACAACTCACCCCAAAGGTTATTTGAGAGATTGAGAATTTTTAGGTTGCCCAAGCAAAAAAATTCTTACCTTTGGATTTGATTTATCTTGCTTTTGAAAAGGTTCAGTGATTCCAGATTGCCAAGACTTTGAAAGATTAAAGAATTTAGAGAGAAAATGCAACCCTGTGAAATATCAAAGAACCTTAGTTTACTTCTTCCTAGTCCTGCAAAAGTAGAATCATCTGGATTTTTTAAATTATCAAAGGAAAATCCTGAACCAATTATAGGACTGCTAAATATTAAAGAACTTATTTGAGTCCCTTCAATGGTTGTACAGAGATACTGGACTCTCTGTGCTTCAGCCATTGTCACTAAGGTCTAGTGAGCTAAATGTGGTATTTTTGAAAGGATTGGGGCACTTGGCCCAGGCCACATCTGCTGTCTTGTACAAATTATTAAAACTGATGTTAAAAAATAAAGAGTGTTTTCCTTGGAAGCTGGTAAGATTGGTTTGAAAAAAGTTGGATATCTTGTTGAATTTCAGGTTCACACTTTTCAAGGCTGTTAAATTATAAAATAGGGGGTAGGGATGAAGTTTTGTGATTTCATTCGTTGAAAGATGCAATTCTTCCAATGATCTCAAATCTTGAAAGTAACATTCTTCCAAGATGGAATTGCAAAGGGAATTGTGAAACAGATGGAGAACAGTCAGGTTTGGTAAGCCCATAAAAACATCAAGATGCAGTTGAAGAATCTTATTGTCTCCCAAGTCTAAGATACAAAGGTTTGGCAGGTTCCAGAATGCTCTTTTTCCTATGGTAACAGGATGGACTAACTGGGTTCCGATTTCCAACAGCCACAAGTGCTCCAGCAGTGGGAACGAAATCACTTTTCTGATATAGTTGTTAGTCAGGAAAAGCTTCACTGTATCCTTTGGCACAGGTGGAACATCAGTGAGGCCGCAGAAAAAGCATATGGAGATTTGGGCCTCTGAGTAGCACCTTCTAGATGCACACACACCTAGTTACAGCCCAAAGAAGAGGAGGAGCTGATGGCACAACATCATGAACCTACATGAAAAAAAGTGACAACAGCAAGAATTAGTTCAGCAGTTGGCTGTCTTTGCAGTGAGTAGTTTCAGAGCACATTTTTAACAGCTGTAGAATGGAGGACTAATGTCACTCTAAAAATGACTTGTGATTTGGGATTTATCCTTTCTCTGAAATCTAACAAGTATCACCTGATGGTCTGTTTGGCCAGAACATGCATCCCCAAAAAATGTGAGGACCTCCTAAAACCTAAAAAGTAACTCTCCTTTATGCTCCTGTCCCAGGGTGACATTATGATCCTTGTATCCCCAGTCAGGTGTTCTGTTTATGCTGAATGTTATATTCTGTGCCTTCAAGACTGGCTCTGACAGTGAAGGCAAGGAGAAGAAGAAGAAGCACGGAACTTCGTTATCAGCTTCACTCTCTCCCACAGTCTGCTGGAACACAGAACTCCACTGTTGTTGTCTGGGCATGGACAGGGCAGAACACCACGCTCCTTTTGCTTTTTAGTTAGTTCAGCTAGCTGAGGCGGTCTGAGTTTTCCCTGGACTGCTTTTCTTTCCCTTTTTCTTGGAACCATTTGAATGTGCTCCGGAGTGGGGCCTGGGGAGCACCGAGAGCTTGAACTCTGTGGCCTACAGGGGCCTACTCTGGGCAGCAGCCTTTGCCAGTGCCGGAGGGATTGAAAACAGAGCGAGCATCCACATGAGAGACTTTCTGAATTTGTCGTCTCTACAGAGCGGTGAATGAGTTTTGTCATCTGGTACTGTTCATTTCTTGTGCTGAGGAGTGCCTTGCCTGTTAAATAAACAGGTTCTTTCCACTTCCCTCCGAGGAATCCTTCCCAAACCGGGGGAGGAGCCACGTGGGTTGGCTTTCTGGAGGGGCCCGCTTTGGACGTTTCCTACTTCTTGGAGAAAGTGCAGAACAAAATATCGTCTGATGCCCTAGTATGTTTCATATTTTCCTCACTTGTGGCAAAAATTATGATTATCTTTCCCAGAGGCTGGTGATATTCACTGACTGTGAAGGACTACTTGTATTTGGTGCTTGGTAGAATTTCTCAGAAGAAAACCCCACAAAGACCTTCAAAGAGCATCCTTTTTCTTTTAATTTAACAGAAAGCCTACTGACAACGAGTTTGTAACATTTCTTTAAGTTCATACAAAAGATCTTGAAAGATATATTGCAAAACAGGAAGCCTTTGTTCTTAGACTGGTCAGATAAAGGCCGGCTGCCATTGGGAAAATTTGTATTCCTGATGTTATCTGATTAGATAAAATCTACTAACTGAAACAAAAATAAAGCTCCAAGCTTTTGACTGGGCTTTAGGCCATCACAATATATGCTTTTGTGCTCATAAAAAGTTGTTCAGTGTAAACACACTTTTTGTCTTGGTCCCCTTCTAACCAATTAAGATCTAAAATAGAAACTGTTTCAACTATTTCATTCATCAGATGATTGATTGATGAATGTGCCCCATCCCATCCCCTCAATTTCTCCCTTAAGTTGCCAGGATGCTTAAATCAAATATAGCAGATTTCCTCTTAAAATCAGGAAGCATCTTACGAGGTAATTGTGCACTGTGACAGTTCCTATCATTGATGGAGAAAAGCATACGGCAGTAAGGCATTTAATGACCTGACAGAGCAGAAGGACCATAAAAGCCAGTACTGGTTTGGGTGTAATGATCTACTTGGTTTGTATTTATCTGTTTGTTTTGATATCCCATCAGATTATATGATGAGATACAAACACACAAAGACAAATGTGATTCCACTAATTATAGTGTAACAGCTCTTTCCAGGAGAGCAGTGCCCAAAAGGACAGGAAAATAAACTTGAAAACAGAGACTAAAACATGCTTGGGCTGCTCTGTGGAGGACAAGAGTAAATTGAATATGCTGAGAGAGAGAGTCCTAGCCCCAGCCCTCTGCTTTTGGTCCTAGCTAGGCTGTTTTTAGCCTCTAGCACAGTTTTGAGTGTGTCCCTGGTGAGCTGGGTCTGCCTGCTCATGTCCCTGCCTAGCAGCCAGCTGGCTTGTTTGTCCCAGTATGGCCCAAGCACTGAGCACTAGTCCATGAGCCAGCCCTGGGCAGCCCAGCTCTGCCCTGTGTGTCACAGGACAGCATGAAGGCAGAAAGAGCCTCAGCTGGGCCTCAAAGAGGACCAACAGCCAGTCTTCCAGCTCCTAAGGAAATACAGCTTTAGTGAGGACAATGAAGATTCGTTTGAAGGTTTGGGGGCTTTTTGTTTGGTGGGGTTTATTTTGTTTTTCCAAATGTTTTGCTACTGACACTCATTCCAGGCTGCACAAACCAACTGTGGGCAGTCACAGTCACCACTGAGGGATTCTTATCTCACATCTTGAGCCCATGTTTTCCTTATTCTTTGAAACCTGTCAGGTGAGAACTGCCTTGTCTACACCAGAAGCCACCCGGGGGAAAAAAAAGTCTCCTTCCTGTTAGTTTCCCCTCACTCTTTGCTGTAACTTTGGACTGTGTTTTTCAGAAACTGGATTTAGCCCAGAGACACAATGTTCTTTTTTTGTGCTTGCAGGATAATTAGAAGCAGCCAGGATTTAAGCTTTCACCTGGAAAAGATCAAAGTGATAATAGGAAAGGAGTCTTAGGAATGACAGTCAAAGAAAAACAGAGCTCTGTACAGTCCTTTTTAAAGGTCTCACCTTTTTATAAGTCTCATCAGTGCTGTCATGCCTGTGAAACAGTTTTCAGGCATAAAACAGTGGTAATGGTTTGGTAGCCTGAAGTCAGCAAAGACGAGTAATGGTGATCAGCCACAGGGGGAATGGCATGGTTACCACTCCTGCACTCCTGGGACCAAATCTGGACACATTATTTATTAGAGATCTATTAAAAAAGTATGGAAACAGATTCCTGAATATGTGGAGCCAAATGGAACAAATTATAAAAGAGATGTTTGCTTTTTCAAGTTTTTTTTTTTTTTTTTGTACATGCACTTTAAAAAAGCAATCAAAAGATAACAAGCTGCAAATGTCCAGTGACAAAAGGACCATAAATATAATACAAAGAGAGATAAAATCTGCCCAGCTTTCAGGTGAAATTAGAAACTGCTCCAGACTTTTCTGGAATGGAGATGTTTGAATTTATTTGAAATAAGATTTAGATCTGAATGAATTTGAGTTTGCTCTTGGTGGTGGGGGAGAAAAATATGAAAATTCCACTCACTAGTATGGTTGACAAAACTCTGGACTGTCAAATCTATGATGCAATGAAGACCTACCAAGTAAAGAAGGTAGAAAAGGAGCTGGTGGCCTTCCTTAAACCATTCCTGTGGAAGGCTCTTGGTGTGTGGGATCTCAGCACAGCAGTCCTGATGTGCAGAAACACCGAGACAACCCTTGGGGGGCTCGGAGGTCCTGGAATGTGGCCAGAAGTGTCTGGTGGTTGGACTTTGACCCAGCACAGGAAACATCACCTGTATGAGGATGGGAGAATCACAGGGGATAAATGGTGAAGAGATTGATTAGTTATGGTGTGAAACACAGAGTTTAGAATTTCGGTACAGGGGGGTGTTAGGGAGACAAGATGAAGGAATTGGGGCGTGTCCCGTCCTTCTTCTTCTTCTTGTCTTCCATCTTCTGTGGTGGTGGTGGCACTTTGAGATTGGTTCTTACTAAAAGTGCACTTGTCAATAAGGGTGAAAGGTATTGGGGGGAAAAGGTAAATATCTTATACGTAGTTTTGGGTATAAAGATAACTGACCACCCCGAGGGCACGCAGTGTGCTCATGGCTGACGTGCTGTGCGGACCTCTGTCGGGCCGAGAGAAGGTATTGTAGATAAAAAATTAATAAACACTGAAGACTGAAAAAACCTGAAGACTCCTTTCGTCCTTTGGAGCGCGGGCTGCCCCCAAGGCCATCCCGAGCCTTTCTAGGCCATCAAAAACAGCTGAGAATGGGACATTGGTGAGCAACCTGTTCCATCAATTCCCAGCATGGCAGGAGCCATGGCAGGGGCATCCTAGGGCTCACCTCCATATACATCCTAGATCAATTGTTTATCCACTGATTATCTTTACACCAGATAGTCCCAACCCAACCAGGAAGTACAGCTGTCACACAGGCTGAGCTGATGAAAGACATATAGAGTGAAAGCTGGCGACTGAGTGACATACTCCATGCAGTGCATCTAGAAGAACATGCACCTGATTTCTGAATCCATAAAGACCTACAGTCAGACACCAAGGGACTGGCAAAACAGAAGTCCCCATGCAGGTTGTATTTTAAATTGTCTTCCTACCCAGCTCTTTCCAGACAGAAAGCCAGCTATGCCTTTATTTAGCACATTATTCTGTCAAGTAAAACAGCTACAGTGAGCTCTGTTTTCTTCGCAATGCAACACTAAACCTTTTTCTTGCACTCATACCTACTATTGGGTTATTTTGGATAGGAGGCACTCTCCTCTTCCATTATAGCTCTTTCAACTGAGTGAATAATGTTCAAGATTCTCTAAATCATGTTTCAGCCTAATGAGGGGTTGGGGGGATGCTTTGTATGGGACGAAGGGAGGGAAGGGAGAAGATCTGTTGTGGGCTGCTTCTGTGTTCTCATTATGCATGTGTCCAACCCAGAAACCATCCTTAGAGAACACTGTGGAGATCCTTCTAGCCCTGTCCTCTAGTTCCTCTCTTTCACCACCTTATTCATCTTCCGAAAGTTCTTGCATAATGACACAGCTTCACAACGAAGCTAGAGACAGCCAAAATTAGCCTATTGCCGGTTAAGAGGAAGACACATCTTATTCACCCTTGGGCAGAGATTTGATGTAATGAACTCTCCCATGACCGGTGTGAGTACTCCCAGTCATGGAATTAAAGAAATACAGCAGCAGCTCACTGCTCCATTTTACAATGCTGTTGTGCTTTATGCTAGGTCAGAGCTAGAAGCCTGCCTACCTGACAACACCCATGTCATGTGTTAGCCAGGTTAGATGATGGCCAGTCAGCCCTGCCAGACTGGGGCACTGCTAGGTGTCTGCAAAAGAAAAACACTTTGTGCTCAAGTTCTCAAGTACTGAAGCCCAGGGTGGAACTGCTGAAATCTCACAAGCTGGACTCTTCAAAGGCCAGGTGCAGATGCAGTTTTGTCTTATCAAGTCCCACCTCCAACACCTTTGTGCCTCTTAGGGACTTTGTACCCTGCAGATCTATTTTTCCCCCATAAAAAAAAGAAAAAAAATAAAAAGAATGTAGTAATCCTTGTCTGCCTCAGGCCAAGAAAATGAGTGAGTACTAAGTTACATATGCTCTGAAAAATTCGAAGTGAAATCCTGCTGCCAAAATATTCTCCTAGGGCTGGAAAATCTTATTTCTTGACGGCTTAAAGGGACAGTGGAAAGAGGGGCAGTCGAAGGTGGGAAGAGAGGGTGAAGACTGACCCTTGGAGCACCCTGGGCTGTGACGGACCTGTGTAGGTCTGTCGCTCTCTCCTGCAGCCCAATCCTGCGTCCCAACGCCACCACCAGCACTCCAGGGCAGAACAGCCTTGCACGGAAACTCGGCTGGGGAGAGCCTCCCTGGTCCCCACCTTGTTCCCTATTCCCTGCGTTATTCCTACATACACAATGGACGCCTGGAGCGGGAGAGCGTCCTCCACCTGCTGGGAATGGCTGCGGTGCATGTCCGGCAGGAGAAGCACCATCCCAGGGGGAGCAGGAAGAAGTGATGTGGCTGAGCTGCTCAGCTGCTCACTCACGGAAAGTGAGAGTAAGCAAACAGCAGAGCCAGAGAGCGGGGCTGGGGGTGTGTGGCGCAGAGGTTAGGACTAGAGGGAAGTGGTGAGTGGTGATGATGTGAATATGGAACGGAAAAAAAAAAGGGTAGAATCATCAGGGAAGAAGCACTGGAAGGTAAATTCCCCAGCATAATGGAAACCCTCCCTGGCATTCCAAGATCGGCTGCTGGATACAGAACTCTAGGGCTCCAATAAAAGAAGGAAGGTGTTATGAGTAGAAAAGTTGCCCATTTTTTTTAAAGGTTGCAGAGTTCACAGGTTGGGCTAGTTGCTGCCAGAGTGGAGTTCTAACTGTTGTTGAAATCACCTGTCGTTTTCGTTAACTACCTGTTGTTGATGGTTGAGGAATTCCCCTCAACCTGCTGCTTCCTTGGAGGATGGCACCCGGGTGGTGAAGAGGAGGGGACATTGGGGTTGGCATGTAAATTACATTGGGGTGGGCATGCAGATGAAGAAACCTCTCACCAAACCTAGCAAAACCCCCTAAAAACAATGAGCCAACACAAATTGACGGATTGAAGTGACGTCTAGATGTGAGGAACAGAATCCAGTGTCCGCTAATACCCTTTTTACCCCTCACCCTAATCTGAAAAGATGTTGTCTGGACAGAGGGCCTCGAATGTCAAAATGAAAATGCAGGAATCTCCTGATGCTCTCTTGAGGACAAAAGCCCCAGCTCTGCCAGCAGACCAGCGGGCAAAGCTGCACTTTTCCTCCTCCTCTATGCCACTCCTGGAAGCCGCAGCGGTGTGAGTGCAACCTGTCAGTTCTACCCAGCCGAGCTCATTTTTTAATGAAGGCATTAAAAAGGAGAAAGATCTCCTGCCCTATTTATTTCAGAAGAGCACCTCCAGAGGAGGTTCACAAAGATTCTTAGAGGGCTGGAGCATGTCTCCTATAAAGACAGGCTGAGACAGGTGGACTTGTTCAGTCTGGAGAAGAAAAGGCTTCAAGGAGACCTCAGAGTGCCTTCCAGTTCTTAAAGGGTGCCCACAAGAGGGCAGGAGAAGGACTTTTAACAAAGGATGTAGTGATAGAACAAAGGTGAACTGACAGAATTTAGATTAGGTTTGAATTAGATGTTGGGAAGAAATTCTTTGCTGTGAAGGTGGTGAGACATTGCAACAGGTTTCCCAGAGAATTTGTGGATACCCCTTCAAGACCAGGCTGGATGGGGCTTTGAGCATCTTGGTCTTGTGGAAGGTGTCCATGCCCATGGTAGGACTGGATGATCTTTATGGTCCCTTCCAACACAAACTATTCCATGATTCCATGGGAGAGAGTCAGGCCTGGGAAAACCAGGCCAAAGGGTGCAGCCAGAGCACAGGAAGCAGCTTTTATGGGCTTTGCTGCATTTTAATATTTAGGAGATTATCAGACAGACTCATCTCAGTCTAAGAAATGTGAACATTTGTGTTTGCTAGCTGCTTGGTGCTTGAGCTGTTCCTTCTGGTCTTTTTTCAGGTGGAAAGAGCCAGCACATCTCTATCTCTTACTTCCAGTACAGCTGACTCTCTGATGTGCACTTAATCTGACCCCAGATAACTGTAAGCAGGTGATCCTCCACTCACATTATTATTCTATTTCTAATGATTCTATTCTACATTCCATTTCCTACATTACCTTAGACTAAGTGGAATACTAAAGAAGTTAGGATTGAATGATAGATCAATAACTGAAGTGATTTATTTGCCGGTTACTGTAATTCTTAGAGAGCAATACAGGAAGGAAAAGGGGAGGTAAAAGAGAGGACAGGGTAATGTTTATTTTTAAAAAATTATAGTAATTTAGGTTTTCATGTTACATTTAGATAAAATTTCTGGAAATTGATGCTATTTGAAAAAGCGACCACCTCTGAGTTAACTCTTCAGCTCACTTTTGCATAGCCATATCCACAGGAGAGAGCAGGGGATTCAGTAACATTGCATGGAAGAAATGGGAGCCTAAAGCACTGGATCTACAATACCCAAATATCTTGTTAACCAAAGCAATATCTTGTTAATAATCTTGTTAACCAAATAAATATCTTGTTAACCAAAGCATCACCTAATCTGGACAGCTGGAAATGCAGCACTGATGGCCATGTTTTATTATTAAATAAAAGGAGTCTCGACTCTCTTGAGGTTGCCTAAGTCTCAGCCTGTTTTGGAATTAAGTGCCTAAGGCAGCTTTTGCTCGCAAGTCACACTAAGTTGTGGACCTTTCTCCTATCCAGATCGCTCCTTCTGGAGCCCTCCTCTTTGTGAACTTTGCTTCTGTCCCTGATGTCCCCTGGTCTCCCACCAGACAATGAGAATATCTAGACAGGAAATTCTTACTCTTTCCTGCTTAAGATGTTCTGCTTTTTATGGAATCAGCTGGGCCAGAGATGACACCAAAGTGCCTATTTTCATACTAATCTGTGTTATGTACCTTTAATTACTTATAACTATGTCACTCCTATATTAAGTACTTATAAGTGATTGCATAGCATAAAGCCTCAGCCTCCAGGGACATTGCAACTTCAAAAGGCATGCAAAGGGCAGCACTTCATATAATCTCACTACATTGGATTACAACCATTTAATTCAGAATTTGCTTTTATTTCTTTAAACTGAATTTCACTTCATTATAAGATTACCCCAGTCAGTTTGTTTCACTTTGTTCTCTGACTTGGAAATTTTATTTCCTTTCATATAAGGAAATTCTTCATTTCATGAAAGGAAATGAAATCTTACAATTCCAATGAGGATCCATTCAGCAACATTTGGCCCATCTCCCTGCACTTGAAATCTTGAAATCAGAGAAGAAAGTGTAACAAACACTTGGGAAAGGAGATAGGATGAAATAAAATGCAATTGAAAAAAAAAATAATTCAGAAATGGAATGACTAAAACCAAATGGATTGCAGTGAAATGAGGTACAGTGAAAAGGACCAAAATTTAGCAGAATTATACTTACTGAAATCCTGAAATAAGGAAATGAAATCAAACAAAAAGACAAGAGATGAAGTTAATGTAATAAAATGCTTAAAAAAAGGGAAAATTTTGCAGCAAAGTGAAAACAATAAAAGCCAATAGGATCATATGAGCGACAGACAATGGCCAAAAGTGTGTTCCTGCCTTCTAAAATAGTGAAAATGGTAGGTCTCCCAGATCAAAGCTGCCAATACCTAAATTTCTGGCTGCCACTGAAGCACCAAACACCACCTCTGAGCTGACCCTGAGACACTGGGGGAATGGGTTTTTTCCCCATGGAAAATGGCCATGGTTCACATCCAGTCACACTGATCGACAGTGGGGTGCTGCCTCCAAAATTCACAAATGACACAGTATTTCTCCCAGAACAAAGCTGCCACCAGCTAGGACTCTGGCTGTCCTTGGAGCCCCAAATGCCACCTCTGAGCTTACCCCGCGACACTGAGGGCTGAGTATTGTTTTCTTCTGAAAAGGGACTGGTTCTCATCCAGGTATTGGAAATCCAGTGAGATGGACCAAACCTTGCCAAATTAATCCCCATTCAATCTCAAGTATTCATTTCCTCTCATTAAATGAAGAATTTCTTTCAATTAAATTAATAAAATCTTGACTTCAGAAAAGAAAGTGTAACTCTGTTCAAAGGAGATATGGTATTACATGATGCAGTTGAAAGAAGGAAAAATAAAATTTGTAAATGGAATAACTACAGCCTAATGCATTGGGATGAAATTACCTGTAGTGAAAATTACCAAAATGTTTTAAAATTATACTTTATGTAATCCCAAAATCACAGAATGAAGTCAAACAAAGAAAAAATTGATGAAATTACATTCTAAAAAAAACCCAACCAAACAAAAAAAAGATAAAATTGTAAATCAAAGTGAAAACAATACAATTGAATAGGATGACATCAAGACATCAAATGCAGGTAAATACCAAACCTCAATTCTTGCCAGATTTATCCTGATTGAACTCAAAAGATTTTGTTTACTTTCATGAAATGAAATGTTTCCTTCCATGAAATTAAGAATTTCATTTCATGAATGGAAGTGAAATTTTGAAATCAGAGAAGAAAGTGTAACACTCTGGAATGAGGATATGATAAAATAAAAAAAGTACATATTTCAATATAATTTCAATTTAATGCGATATAATCAAAATAATCCATGATGGTGGCTATGTCATAGCTTTCCTGCTGAACCACGGCTTCCAGCTCCTCCTCTTTTATTGCCCATGCTGAGTGCATTAGTGTACATACACTTCAAGTGGGCTGCTGATTTCACCTCTGACTCTAGCTTACCCTACTTAGTCTTGTTTCTGGAGAGCCTTGCATCCCCTTCCCCCTTCAAACCTGGTTTAAAGTCCTCTCAATCAGCCCCCACATGGGCTAGAATCTTTTTGCTCTTGTTAGTTAGATGGAGCCCAGCTAGCTACAGCAGGCCAGGTGTCATAAATGTTGCCCCATGATCAAAGAACCCAAAGTTCTGCCCATGGCACCAGCCTTTAAGTACTTGTTGGTAATGTGTTCCCTTCTGTTCCTTTTATCATTTGTCCCTACTGCTGAAAAGACTGAGCAGAACCTGTGCTCCTGCCCCATCGACCAATCAACCCAGTGCCTTGAAGACCATTTTAATTTCCTTCTTTTCAATCTCATCACTGTCAGCCTGGAATATCAGCAGTGGATGATAATCAGAGGGCTGAGTCATCTTAGGGAGTCTCCTGATAGTCTACAGCCAGGCCCCAGGGAGGCAGCAGACTTCTCTGTGGGATGGGTTTGGTCAACATTCAGGGCCCTCTGTTCCCCTCAGAAGGGAGTCACCCACTATGACTGCCCTTTTCATTTCAATGCCAGAGGTGCTGATCCATCCAACTGACAAAGTATAATTGGGAGGCTCTTTGGGCAGGTTAGTTTTTTTTATGGCACCCGGC